TACAAATAAATTTCAATAAGTAGTTGAATTTTATTGTAGATGGACTTCTAAATTGTCTCCAGTTTTTGGCTGTTCAGAATAGTGCTGCTAAAAACAATTTTGTAAATGTTCTATGTATGCATTTCTGTTAGGGATATATTGATGAGTGGAATTGCTAGGTCATGAAGCATACATTTATTCTGCCTTCATGGATACTACCAGACAGTTCCTAAAGTGGTTTCAACAATTTACAGTAGTGTTTGAAAGTTTCAGCTACTCCACGTCTTCACCAACACTTAACATGATATTTTTGATTTTCAACATTCTGGTAGGAGTCATTTTATATATTTTAACATTATGCATTTTTAATCCAGTACTCTAGTATGACCTATATTAATTTTCTCATGAATTTCTTTTATAATTTGAAGCCACTTTTATTTGGTGGCCCTGCCCTGACTCTCCATCTACTTTTCCACCTATTTAAATTCCACCTAGGTTTTAGTACATCTTCTCTTAACACTCCATTTTTTCATCCACCTCTCCTTCCTTAGAATGTCATTGACATTTGCTACATATAAGAAGTATATTACTCTGTCACCCAACCATGAAATGTGTGTGTGTTGTCATCACCAGTGCAGTGGAAAGACCTTTGTGGAGGGCAGATGCTAGATCTTATTACTTAGGAAAGTGCACAGAGTATTGCTCAACATTTATTGAATTGAAATGAGGGTCTACTGTTTATTGAGAAGGGTAGTGCAGGTAGTGACTTTCTTAGGTTAGTCCTGGAGAAGGTTATAGGCAGGGGAAGTAGAAGTGAATGATGATAATGAGCAAGTAATGTCTGCGTAGGCTTGTCATTGCTGGGGCACCATAAGCTGTGGAGACCCTTCGAAGCATCAGTGATAACTGAAAAGTTGTGAGGATGAAAACAGAGAGCCGAGGGGTGGGGGGTGGGGGGGCGGGCAGGACGGATCATCAAACTGGTGGGTAGAAGTTAACAGAGAGTCAGATTAGGGTGGGGTGCTCCACTTTAATGATACACATGTCTTATACTGTGGCTGGTATATTGACGGTATTAGCCAATGTGCTTTCCCAAAAAAGAGGGAAGTGTGTAAAGTGGGTCCGGTGTACTGTATTTATGAAACAAGAAAGGATTTTGTAGGTAAGAGAAAAAGAGGAATCCTTTGAGCAGTAATATTTTTATATAAAACAGGCAAGTATTGCTATGTTTCTGCTTGCAGCGCGTGATTTTTTTCCTGTGTACCTATCCTAGGCATCTTTCTAGGACAAAGAACTATGTTAGGCTCCTGATATTTCCTAGCTGAAAAGTTTTCTCAAAGGCAAAGAACAGAATCTGTGTATTTTGTGATTAAAAATGAGCATTTGGACATAAGGAGCCCTACAGTTTTCATTGAAAACCCCAGTGGTATAGTGGTTAAGAGCTATGGCAGTTCGAATCCACCAGGTGCTCCTTGGAAACCCTATGGGGCAGTTCTCCTCTGTGCTGTATGGTTGCTATGGGTCGGAATCGACTTGACGGCAACGGAAAACGGATACAGTTTCATTAAGTGCCGTTTGATAGATGCCCATTCTCCCACAGCCTCAACTTTCCTTTCTGTTTCTCGTATTTCTTTCATGAAGCCTCTTTACTCTTTCCTGGCTAATTAATGACAGCACATGACTAAATTGTTTAAGCTGAATTCCTGGCTTTCTGTGCTATAGATTCCATTTTGTTGGCAAGATGTTCTAGTGGCTTTCCTTCGGTGTGCACAATTCATGGTAGAAAATTGGTAAATAATTTATTTTGTTTTCCTGTTGGTGTAGAAAAGAGAGCCCAGTAGTTCAGAGAGATTCGACAGATTATTTTGTTTCTGAAATTTTAGCAGAAATAAACAAGTTGATTGTTTGAAATGTAATTCACAGTCAATGAGTTAAAAAGAAATACTTTAGTTGCTGATGACAGCTCCTTCAGTTAGCCCTCCTAAAATGTAATTAGCTTTTGGAGTGGTTGCAAATGACTTCTTTCTGCTTAAAACCGCAAAAAAATTTCCAATGCTGTGTCAGTATTTCAACTAGTATTTAAAGAATTTATTAGCAACAATGACCTGAATTTATATGCACTAAAAGGTAGGGGGTGTCTCTGAGATTCTGGAGACAACACAGACATGTCATAAAATAGAAGCCCTTGGGGGATAGTAAGTAGTCTGACATGCCTAGTGTTACAGGAGGAGGGAGTTGATTTTAGTGCACTGTAACTTTTTTGAGTTACAATCTATGTAAAAATTCACAATGACCATTTTTTATTTTTATTTGTATTAAATATCCAAATTTCTACACTGAGATTGTAACTTAAAAAAAACAGCAGTCTTTATATTTGCTTTTTGTCAATATGATATTATAACTCTAGAAAACATAAGAAACTGAGGACAACTTGCAAGGCAAGGCCAAAACATAAAACTAAAATAAAAAATTCTACACAGCATTTATAGATATTTCATGGTTCGAGCAGCAGCTAGAAAAAAATAAATAAATTAACCCCGTTGGAATTCTGTTTCTTTTTTCCCCTAGTTTAAGAAAAAATAGTTTTTGTTATAGAAAATGTCAAATATGCCCAAAAGTAGAAGTGGCGTAAAGAACCCGACATGCTGTCAATCCAATTTCAACAATCATAACTCATAGTCAGTCTTGTTTCATCCATACCCCTACCTACTTCTTCCTCTCAGCCCCAACCGGTTATTTTGAAGCAAATACCAGAGATCATACTATTTCATATGTGTATGTTTTAGTATGAATTTCTAATAACAAGGACCCTTGAAAAAATATAACCACAATGCCATCATGCTTTAAAAAAACTATATGTCTACTATCATATCTCCAATCAATGTTTCAGTTCTTTCTGATTGTCTTATAAATGATTATTTTTAATAGTTGATTTGTTCAAATTAACATCTGGTCAAGTTTACATTTTGATATGTCTCTTAAGTGTCTTTTAAACTTCAAGTGTCCTCTCCCTCCTTTTCTTTTTCCCCTCACAATTTGTTGAAGAAACTGGGTCATTTGTTCTCTGAAGTTTCCTACACTTTACAGTTTGCAGATTCTGTCCTTGTGATGTCGTTTAACATGTACAGTTGTTTCCTATACTTGCTGTAGACTGGTAATTAGACTTAGGTCTTGATCAGATTCAGGTTTGATTTTTTTTTTTGACAAGGATGCTTCATAGATGCTGGTGTGTTTTTGTATCAAGGGGTCCCCTTTTTTGTGATGTTAAAATTGATTTTAACAATTTTATCTAGTCACCTGATTAACTTGATCCATCCATTATAATTTTCCCCATCAGATTTTCATCTACTAATTTTATCAGCCATTAATGATCATTGCCTAGATCCATTATGTCAAGGAAAGACTTTTTTTTAAGTAAGTTTTAAGAACTAAGGTCTGACTGAGTGACGGAGTTGTGTGATTTTCTTGCTAGGTTTGGTGATTCAACACTCATCTTTAAAATCAAGTCACAGAGAATCTTTACCAAACTAAGAGGTACATAGCATTGGCCTGGAAGCTCTGTAAAACATGAGTCCAAAGTGATCTAATTATCTTACTATGCAGTTGGCATTCTCATGGGACAACTTCACAGGCCCAAGCCTAAAAGGGAAAAGGAAACTTTTTTGTTTGTTTGTTTGTTTTTTTAAATAACAAAGCTTAGACTTTATCAAGCTTTCAGTATATACTGCACTATTTCTATATTAACATTTTATTTTAAATGACAGCAGGAAGGAAAGTATTGTGGAACACAATTGAAATATCCCCACTCCATCAACCCATTTCTCTGTTGGGGGTTTGAAAGTCAGGGGAGTGACTAATTCCCCTCACTGACCCTCACCCTGATTAGTGTTGATGATTTTCCACTGCCAACCTGGGAGGAGTAGGAGGAAAGGGGACAGGGATGGGGGAATCGGGTGGGAAGATCTGGAAAGGGTATTCCAAACCAGTAGCTACTCATTGAGAGGAATTCCAGGTGAACTGACTCTTAAAATTAGTAGGTAATTTAGAAATGATCTGATCTAACCTCTTTACCAATTCAAGAATCCCTCCAAAAGAATCTGACAAATGGGAGTGGACTTCTCTTCACATTCTATACTCTTACGGTGCCTCATTCTGTCTTTTTAATTCTGTATATTCTATTTTTATTACTGAATTATACATTCCGTAAGGTCAAGGAATTTAATCCTGTTCTTCTGTTTAATACAATACGGAGCCTAGAACACTGCCTAAAGATGCTTAATGAATTTGTGTTGCCTGAATTAATTAAAGAAAACTCAAACTTCTTCCCTCCTCAAAGGGAGGGAGGTTATTTAGAATGCCTTCTGCCCCACCTTAGTGTCTAATGATAGACAGGAGACTGGAATGCACCTCCATCGGTTATCTTCCTTGTCTGTGTCCCCTTGGACATTCTTGTTAACAAAGTTGGCAGTACTGGCCTCCTCTTGAAGGCCAACCCCTTCTATTTGTTCCTCAGGGTTTTATTTCCCTCCTACAGACATTCTGATTTTTAAAACAATTCACTGTGAATGATTCTGTTAAAAATGACTAGATATTATAAATTATAGTACAGGATTCTGGGTACTGTTAAGGAGGAACAGTCAGATACCCATTACCCAGGGGTATCGTACCCAACAGGGTAGCACTTCTGTCATTTGCTTTCATCAGACTTTTCCTTCATAGAATTTTTCTCAGGTTGTAATGTATTTATTTGTATGATTATTTTTAAATATATATCTTGGAAAATATGTCTCATTTCTTCACCATTGAATAGTCAGCACCTAACACAGTGACTGGAACAGAACCTGTCGGATATATTCCAAAATGATAAATTTAATGACGAATGAATGGCTTTCCATCTTGCCTTGTCTCTCTTATAATATTGACAGTTATAGAAATATTATTTAGTAGAAATATGTGACAGAATATTTGCAGAAGGTCATGAATTTCAAGTTGTGTTTCAGTGATTCTTCTTCTCTTTGTAGATTCCTTACCTATTCCTACCTCTTGGCCTTCAATGTGTGGCTTCTGCTCGCACCCATTACCCTGTGCTACGACTGGCAGGTCGGCAGTATTCCTCTGGTAGAGACCATATGGGACACGCGGAACTTAGCCACCATCCTTCTGGCAGTTGTGATGGCCTTATTAAGCCTGCATTGCTTAGCAGCCTTCAAGGTAATTTTCTCAAACTTCAGATGAACTGTCTGCATTTGAAAGGAAGTGTTCTATACTCAGTAATGCTTTTTTTTCCATAGAGATCTGGGTCTAAATTGAATCTACTGTCTGTCTAGAAAAGTTTGTGCCTATAAAACCTAAAGTTTTATATTTATAAAATCTGAAATATTTTAAAGACCTTAGCAGGGTTAACAGACCATGACAGCTTTAATCATATAATTTGTTTGATTATTTCTACCAATTTATGGAAATTGGATCTGAAAATATTAATGTTTGCAAATGAGATATTTTTTCCTGTTGTGGTTGGCTAACTTTTTAATTAATTTACTTGATTTTATGTAATAATAAAATGAGATGATGAAAAATAATATACACATAGCAAGGCTTACAATGTAGTAAATACTTCTAGTAATGACTGCCTGAGATTGGATGATTTTCTCTCAAAATAAAAAAGATTTTTAAATGTAACCATTTCAAAAATGATTAAAGAGAGTAAAGAACTTGAAAAGTTTTTACTCATGAAAAAGTGCTTCTGCATTGGTAAGATGCTTCTTACCTTAGGATATTCTCATGCCACCAGTTCTGTTGGTGAAGTCAGTTTTACTGGATGGCAGATTTGGTTTAGGAGAGTGGCAGAGTAGCTAGATATTTAAGCAGGAGATTTTGGAAGCAGGAAAGCTGTAGAAGGGCTGAGATAATATACACTCCATGCATTCATGGCTGACTGCTAAGCAGTGTGTGTACTTGTAACTCCTAGGGAGTCCAATGAAAATGGAAAGGCTAGGGAGACTTATTTGCTGTAGCTTTGAATGTGTTCCTCACATCCTACACAGCTTGGGCAGCAGATAGTGGAGGCTTGAGTTGCTTGTGTAACCTCTGTGTGTATCTTTATTTGACTGAAAACTGTGAGGGCACAGGGGAGATCCCCAGAGATCTGATTAGGAAAAAAAAAAAGTTAAAACTGAGCAGAAATTTCAGCACTGTGTAGGAGAAACAGATTTTGCAGTTTGAGTATAGACAAATTTATCACATATTAAACAAACAATTTCAGAAGAACAAAATAGAACCCAGAGCCACTACAGTGTTTGACCTACAATGCTTGGTTTTTAACCAAAGATTACTAAACATGTATAGGAACAGGAACGTGTAACCTAAATTCAGTAAAGAAAATTGTCCAGATAATGAAACAAATTGAGAGTTTAGAGATAGACTTACACTTATTTAATCAATTGATTTTTTTTTTTAAAAGTGACCACAGTAATTCAATGGAGAAAAAATAGTCTTTTCAGTAAACAATGCTGAGATAAGTAAACGTCTAAATAAAAAAGGATGAGCCTTAACTGTTATCTCGCAGTGACACAGAAATTAATGCTCAGTGAATCATAGACCTAAACAAAAAACTAAATAATACCATAAATTTGTTGAAGAAAATCTTTGTGACTTTGGGTTAAGCAAAGATTTCTTATATAGGACATGTAAAGCACAAACAGTAAAAGACAAAGTTGATAAATTGGGCTTTATTAAAATTAAAGACGTTTGCTCATCAAAAGATTACGTTAAGGAAATGAAGATGCAAACTACAAATGGGGAGAAAAATATTTGTAAGACATATATCTATAAAGGACTTGTATCTGGAATATTTAAAGAGTTCTTAAAACTCAAGAAGATAAATCATTCATTAAAAAAATGGGCAAGTCATTTTAAAAGTTATTTCACAAGAGAAGATATACTAAGGTTAAGAAACATATGCAGAGATACTCAGTATTGTTAGTCATTAGGGAAATTAAAATTAAAACCACAATGAGATACCATTCCATACCTATTGTAGGAATTATAATTAAAAAGATTCACAATACCATGTGTTGGACAGAATGTGGAGCAACTGGAACCCTCAAATATTACAGGTGGGAATGAAGAATGCTTTCGCCGAGTTGGAAAATTTTGGCAATTCTTGAAAACTTAAACATACAATTAAGCAATTTTACTCTTTAGTATCTACCGAAGAGAAGTGAAAATATATGCCAACACAAAATTCTTATACATAAAGGTTCACAGTGACTTTATTCATGATAACCAGAAACAACCTAATGACCTCAGTTATAAATGGATAATCTTAATGTGGAAAATTCTTTAGAAATTTAAAGGAACAAACTACTGATACATGAAACAATGCCAGTGAATCTCAAATACATCCTGTTAAGTGAAAGAAACCAGACATATAAGACTCCATGGTATATGATTCCATTCATATAAAATTCTAGAAAAGGAGAATTATAGTGACAGAAAGTAACGGAATCAGCACTTGTCTGCATGTGGGGGTGGAGATTGTCTATAAAGTGACATAAGGGAAGTTTTGGGGTGCTAGACACTCTAAATTTTGATTGTGGAGGGGTTCCAGGACTATATACATTTATCAAAGCTCACCAAAATGTGCACTTAAAATGGATGAATGCTATTGTATGTAAACTATACCTCAGTAAAGCTTAAAAGAAATGTTAAAGCCAGTAGAATACCAATAAATTAAAGGCTGGAATGAATGCAAAACTGAAATTTCAATACAAAACACAATATGTGTTCCTGAAAATTTAGTGAAATCATTTTTGAAATGATTAAAACTCCTTATTTTAAAGGACCCCTGTTATTAATCTTTCTATAAATTAATTTTAGCAAGGATGATGTGAATAACCATTCTTAAGAAACTCTGGCATGCCGGTTAGTTACACAAGCTTGAGCTCAGATTTCACCTTCTCAGTGAGATCTACCATGACCAACCTATTTAAGATGCCCCCTCCACCCCACTCCCTACAGCCCTTTTACTTGTTTGTTTTTCACTATACTTACTAGTTTCGAAAAGACTATATAATTGATTTTTCATTTAATGTCAGGTTTCTCCAACTGGAATGTAAGCCCCATGAGGAAAGCGTTTTTTTGTTTTTCTGTTTTGTTTACTGCTATATCTCAAGTACTAAGAGCTTGACAATTGGCATATATTATTTAATAAAACTACAAGAAGTTAGTAATTCTATTCAACTGGTTTTGGTATGCAGAATCTTTTTCTTTTTAAGCAAACTATATGTAACCTATAAAAGCACCGTACTCAATAGCAGCATGAAATGTTTTGGGGCAGATAAGTTCATTTTACATCTGGCCTCAGCTGATGGCTTGGAACTTCTGCTGTATTGCAGTTAATCTGCAGGAGGATATGTAATGTAACATAATGGCACGCTGGATTGGTATGTCATTAAGAGTTTTCCTTGACTTCATCCCAAATAATTAAGGAGAGTGGTGAGTCCCCACAGGCTGTCATCTCAGTCAGTATGTTAAATATGGACCTTTTTGATGGCAGTAGACCTCACATACAGGCAAGCCTTGCCCCTCCCTGGAGTATCTTTGATAATATGATGAATGAATGGAAATTTCCTCCTTCAAAGGCTGTTAATCTTTTACTTGCATGGAATTTGTTTCAAAATCTCTTTAATGCACCATGAAAAGATTAGCAAAGCATTCCAGCTGTGGTAATAGTAAGATTAGTCCTTCTCTGGTGGTTTTCATCTTGAAAATTCTTTGCAAACATTAACTAAAGCCTCCTGCAATTCTCGGAGGCCATTTACACTCTACGTTTTCTTCTTTTGGAGATCAGAAACAGTGGTTTGGCTTTTAGCTCATGATTTCGTGGCCAGGCCTCTCTCTCTTCTTGATCTGCTTACACACTGGAAGGAAGATGGGAATTAGGCCAATTCTCCTGCTAGTTCTTGAAGTGGTGATGATCCTATTTTGTTTGTGTGTGTGTGTGCTAAGATTAGTTAAGGGGCCCTGGTGGTACAGTGGTTAAGCGCTTGGCTGCTAACCGAAAGGTTACTGGTTTGAACTAGCCAACATCTCCCCAGGAGAAAGACCTGATTAGGATGATCACTCTGTTGGAATTTATGTACAGTAGAGATAAAGGGTATTTAAGCCAAAGGCTGATTATTCCATTCTCTTCTATGAATAGTAGATGTTTATACCCCAGGAAGACCATAGGCTGAAAATGCACTCAGGTTTTTTTTTATGACTCTTACAGACTTTATGTCAGACTAGGCTGTTGACTTGCAATAAATAGTGACATAAATCAGGAAAGTAGCCAGCCTAATTTGGACTGTTTAGCGGAGTTAATACCATTGGCTCTATTCTTTATAGTTCCTCATTTCACATGTCCTCTGATGTGGCTTCCCTTCCTTCCAGAGGAAATGCCACTAAATTATATTTGAGAGTAATTTATTTGGAACTGGTTATTTATTATATGAATGTGTTTGTCATTTATTATATGAATATATTACAAGGTGTCTTGAGATTTTAAGATATTTTTAGACCTTCTGAAACCTTGTATTATAGTTTCAAATGGAATATCTGAGGGAAAAGGAGGGGGGTTAATGATAACTGACTTTCTTACTAATGGCCTCAACAATGAGATGTCTTTTGAGGATAGATTTTAGGTTGTAAAGGCTCCCCCACCTCAAGTATGGGCTTTGAGGGATTAGTAGTAGTAGTTACATTTTTGTCTCAATCTGTGTATTCACTCACACTCTCCCACATCATTCCATTGTAACCAATATAAAGCATAGACTATAGATTGGAACATGGGGAAAAGGCTAAATTCTCAGGTTTTCTTAGGAGTGAATTTGCAACTTGACCAATGGAATTGTCATTAGTGACCACTTGGTGTAAATGGAGCAGTGGAGGTAAGGGTGGAGCTAATGCACCTCCACCCTTAGGGAGGTGGCTGTGTTTATCTTAGGGATCTCCTTTCATACTTGTTCTCAGCCCTGCTCTTGATGCACCTTCATATTCATCCATATTGTATGTCTGCATCAATCTACTCACCAAAAGAGCTAACAGATCATCTAATGGACAAACAGATTGTTAAAATAAGATCTCTCTTTAATTAAAACTTCCACATAGCTCAACAAGAAGGTAAGATTAGAATGAGGACCACTATTGTAAAATGATTATTTGCTTATTGA